ATTGTGATTCCAATTCGGCGTTGATAAAGGCTTATAGTCAAGTATACAATGGTAAGTCTCGGCATATTTCACTAAGGCATAGCCTAGTGAAAGAGCTTATCAATGATGGGGTCATAAGTCTTGACTATGTTCCAACAAAGTTGAATTTGGCGGATTGCTTTACAAAGGCAATGCCAAAGCATTCCATTATATTTGCTATGAATGGAATGGGTTTATGTCCAAAAACACAAATTTGTGAAACCCAATCTAACGCTTGAAGAAACATCAAGTCTTAGATTCAATGTGGTTGAATTGCATTTTTAATGTTTGTCAGCAATATTTGATGACCCATTTTGCTATGGTACTTGTGATGTGTAAGGTAGCGTCATTTAAATTTCTCAAAGATTTAGAGTTGAGAAGCTCTAAATGTAAGTGTCTTGTCACAAGGGCACATACACGTATATAAGAACCTATCTATATAAGTTCGAAGTTTAGCCGCTTCAAGAAGTCTAATTGGACATATAGACTTCGATGAACTTATGAAAGATACGGACACATGGCTGTATAAAAGTGTCAAGTGATGATTAATTCGATTTGTCTTGTGTGTACTTCACCTTCGAATGATTAGATATATCCGTGTGATTCAATCCGTATGGAAATCATGGGATATGATCATCGTTAAGTGTGTTGTACTAGGTGTCAATTCAATCCGAAGGGACATTGACATTGAAGCATGAGATGTGGTTTAATTGTAAGAAGTGGAGAATGTTTTAAGAAAAACTCTAAATGGGGGAGGATTTTTGGAATATTTAGAGTGTTAATGGTTGCGCTCGCGAACCATGAGTAGCGCATGCGCTACGTAGACGCGGCCGCTCTGAGATCGCGCTTAAATCGCAGACCTCACTGGATTTTGGATCTTTGGAAGTGCAGAGTTGGCGCGGCCGCGCGTCAGGTGGCGCGCCCGCGCGTCCTAGTGGCGCGCCCGCGCTTCTGGTCGCGCCTAAACCGCGCCCCCTTCTGTCTTCCTATGGAAATTTCGCATTTCTGATGAGAAGCGCCCGCTCCCGATATAGGAGCGCCCGCTCCACCTGATGGCGCGCCCGCGCCTCTTGGTGGAGCGCCCGCGCCTCCCTGTTTTGCGGTTATTTCTGATGGTTGAGTCTTTTGTTAAAAGAGATCAATTCGTGAAAGAAGAGATATAACATATTCTTCTTCTCCCCAAGCAGTATTCTCTACAATTTTTCTCTCAAAAACTTTGCAAACTTTTGTTAGAAAACTCTTGCAATCATTCTAACTTGTGTGAATTTATCATCTTTACTTCGATTCTAGTACTAAGGACGAATGGCTGTCAATTGTATCTCAAAGAGGATTTCCGGTTTAAACCCAAGTACCGTGTGGGGGAAATAAACCTCTTTAGGAAAGTATTCATACGCCTTTGACAGTGTATCAAGGTCATAGTCTCAAGGGGCATTGCAATTCTCATGTTCATGTGTGCTTTGATTGGCTTGGAGTTGAGGCAAGTTTCATAGTCTTCACATTAGTGTTTTGTTTAGAAATTTCTGTAATTTCTTAGACTTATTAATACTTGATTGTAACACCTTAGTTGTGGTTGTTGTAATTACTTTACTTTGTTATTGTAATCACATTATTTAGGTTTTGTCCCACACAAGTGTTAAGAGCTTTTCTAGTTTGAATTCACTGAAAACCTAACAAAATGACTATCACAATACTTAATTTTTATTGGCCGATTTTAGCTAACATTCAAAAAATTAAATATAAATCTTAAAAAAATTATTAGCTAACATTCAAAAAATTAAATTCCGAAAAAATGATTTTTTAAAAAAGAAAAATAATTTTTAATACGTTTGATAATAATAAAATAAAATTAAAAAAAAAAACCCAAAATTCACCCAATGAAAATTAAGTATAGTGGTAGTCGTTTGTAGGATTTTCATTTTATTTGAGTAAAAAATGTTTATTTCAAAAGTGGAAAACTTTATTTGAGTTGAATTATTGGAATTATTATTGTTATTGTTGGAGTAATATATAAGCTTATTTTTGGCTATTCATGGTCTCACTTGTAGTAAACATGATGAAGAATTTAGACAAATTTGGTTGTTATTAAAATTCCGATTTAAATCTTAGAATCTTACGATTTTACAATTTATGTATGTCATACGATTCAATTTACGATTCTACCCGATTTTACATATTTTTCTTAACTAGCAAAATCCTTACAAGTTTAAAACATACCTACATATTTATTTTATAAATATATATTATCAATTATTGGTTGCTTAATGGACAAACAACTATAATAATTAGGTTTCGAACTCATAATTTAAATATATTTAATTAAATTTGGAAATAACTTCTTGATTATGCATGTCGGTAGAATCTTACGATTCTACGATTCGATTCTGAGAGCCCTTTCCAATTCCAAGTAGAATCCCGATTTTAATACTCCTATTGGCTTTTTATCATTTTTCTCCTCTCACATCCCTTAATTTTCACTAAAATGTAAAATTTATTATCTTTCTTACAATTTTATAATGACTCCAACTATCCTCTTTACTTCTCATTATAATATCATATTAAAGTTTTTGATTTAACTAAATTCCATTCAATTTATGACACTTGTACAAAACAGACAATATCAAGAAAAAAAAAATGGTACAGATATATAATAATTGAGGAAATGTTTTGTTATTTAAACTTATCTGATAGCTTAAGGTCAAGTAAGTTTTCAATGTTGTTTTGTTTTTGACAATGGTTTAAATTTCACAATGTTATTAAGAATTGAATTGAAACATTTAGGAAAATTCAACAACGAGTTTGATAAAAAAAAAAAAATAATAATAATAATAGAAAAATTCAACAAGGAGTTCAAATATTCTAGTCTTAAGATTTCTTTAAAATTAAGCTATCTGGACTTTTTCCAATACTTACATACTCCAATATATATGAAAAAATATATTTATATGAGATCTTATTAAAATATTTTCAATATATAATTTTCGTATATCAAAATAATATAATTTTTAATAATTAAAAATGGGAAATTTTCAATGGTGACCCCCAACTTATGCAACGCACCAATGGTAACCCTCTTGAAAATTAATTATACAAAATGACCTTTTTAAAGAATTTTATTCCAAATATAACATTAATGAGTGTTTTATTATTTAAAAAATTAAACTATGGTTAGATTTTTATTTAAAAAAAAAAAAAAAAAAAAAAAAAAAAAAAAAAAAAACCAACCAGCCACCTTCACCCAGTCGCTGCACCTCCTTCACTGTCAACCAGCCGACGCCGCCCCCTTCACCATCAACCAGCCGACGATATTAGCCGCCGCCGCAACCTTCACCTTCAACCAGCCGCCACCACCACCTCTACCCTCATTCTTACCCCAAATCGAAACCCCCCACCAGACCAAGACCCGACACCTCCTTCAGACCCAGAACCAGACCACCGCTCCTCCTCCCACCATAACCCATAACCCTCCCTTTCTATCTCCTCTCCACCAACAACAACCCGAAACCACCCACCTACCCAAATTTGAAAGTGATTTCGGTTCAAGTGGGGGTTACTGGGTTTGGGTTTCGGGCGAGGGTGGTTTCGGTTCAGCTAGTGGCGGGTGAGGGGGAGGGGAAGGGGGCGGAAAATGGTCGGGATTTGGGGCGTTCGACGGTATAAAAGTGGTCGTGGGGTTTGGGTTCGACGGTCTGGAGGTTTGGGTTCGGCGATCTGGGGGTGGTCATCGTTCCGATTTCGACGGTCTAGTGGTGGTCAGGCAGTAGGTCGCTAGTAGTGAAAGGGAAGGAGGATAGGGTGGCTGGTTGGTGGTGTGGGTGGATGGGTTGGTGGTTGTTATTTTTTAAAGTGTTATTTTTGTAAAAAAAAATAAAATTAACCATAGTTAATTTTAATTAACTATTTAATGAAATAATGTTATTAGGGGGATAAAATTCTTAACTAAGGTCATTTTGTATAATAAAAAAAAAAAAGGGAGGTTACCATTGGTGCGTAGCAGAAGTTAGGGGTCACTATTGAAAATTTCCCATTAAAATTAATGATATAAATGTCAATTTTATATCATCAAGTGTAAATAGTCAAATAGAGTATAAAATAAAGAGCATGATGAGTTTCATGCCTGCATGACTCATTGACTCATACCCTTAAAAACGACTACCAGTCTACCACTATTTGAGTAATTATTGATTCAGATTGAGACCAATAAAGATTGGACAGCAAGAAATAAACACAAATACATACATACATAATCCGTATGCATCAAAATCATCATACGTAGCGCTTTAGTATTGTTTTTTCGTTAAACTGAAGGGTATTGGCTGTTACTTTAATTAATGGTTAACTATGTGAATATGCTTTGCTGTAATATGCCTTCAGTTGAAAATGATATGTAAGTCGGCATGCTTTGCTGTAATATGCCTTCAGTTGAAAATGATATGTAAATCAGCAAGTGAATGAGTAAACTAAAATATACGGAGTATATACTTCCTCCGTTTTATTTTAGTTGATAATTTTGATTTTTGGTACATTATTTTTATTTTGGGATGTATATTTAAGAAAAAACATAATCTAATGAAATTTGTCTTCTTATTTATTTTTTAAATATCAATTTTTATTATAGATATTTGAAGATATTATTACTTGAAGTTACACATTGACAAATTAGCATTGAAAAATGTGTCAACTAATATGAACTAGAGAAAGTATTTACTCTTTGCTAAAACATAAATTTTTATATGTGGCTGGCCACACCGTGTGGTTGAGATTACTTATTCAGGAGTTATTCGGTCAGTTGGGGGTTACTCGGTCAGGGGTCACTTATTCAAGGGTTACTCGGTTGGTCAGAAAACGCGCTAACCGACTGAGTAACCCCAGAATAAGTAACCCTTGACCGACTGTGTAACTCCGAAATAAGTAACCCTAGCGAAAACGCGCTAACCGACTGAGTAACCCCAAAATAAGTAACCCTTTACCGTCTGTGTAACTCCTTGATAAGTAACCCTTGAATTAGTAACTTCGGCCACACAGAAAAAGCACCAAAGTTTCATATGTGGTTGGCTACACCGTGTGGCCGGGGTTAATTGGTTAGGGATTACTCAATCGGTCTGGGTTACTCGGTCAATGGTTACTTGGTTTGGGGTTACTCGATCAGTCAGGGGTTACTCGGTTGATCAGCGTTTACTGGATCAGTCAGAAATTACTCGGTTAGTGTTTTGGTGTGTGTTAGCCGGTCACACAAAAAACGAGCGGTTGCATCAGGGAAAAAAAAATAATAAAAAAATAAAAATAAATAAAAATAAAAAAGGAAAAGACGTAATTATTACTAATTGTCAACATTTATCGGGTTAATGACTGCTTTGTTAGTTTGGATCCCATTTTATTCGAAACTTGACGACCACACCGTTTAAAATTTGAAACCAGAAGGAAGGAAGGAAAAAAAAAAAAAAAAAAAAAAAAAAAAAAAAAAAAAAAAAAAAAAAAGATTATTAACCGATAAGAGAATCAATGACGATAATAAATAGATTGGTAATTATATTTTCGATTTTGTTTGGAGAAGCAGCTCTTGGTGACGAACACTATAATCGGTACGACTTTCCTAAGGATTTTATATTTGGTGCTAGTACCTCTGCTTATCAGGTACTCTTGGTTTCATGTTTTCCCTTTTTTTTCAAGCTTCTCACATACTCTATTTGTCCTATAATAAACTGCTCATAATTAGTCTTTTAATCATTTTTTTCATACTCTATTCGTTCTATAATAAACTGCTCATAATTATTTCTTTTCGAGTGTTCCAAAAATGTGCTCGTTTGTAAATCTTTCATGTCAATCTTCTTTAATATTGTATGAAGCTTACCCAATGTCAGCTTTAGTTTGTCTGAAAATTTTATAGCGGTCGATTAAAATATTTAATTCTTTTTTTTTTTTTTGGAAAGAGAAATATTTAATTCTTGTTATATCTAAATTCTAAAGGTTGAGGGAGCAGCATTGGAGGATGGAAGGACGCGCAGCATTTATGATACTTTTGCTCATCAAAAGAGTAATTAAGCTTGTCTCATTGAGTGCTTCCACCAATTTTCTTAGTATATTTTGATCTCATAATATAATGACTATTTCTATTCTAATACGAGGTAGTTAAATTTTAGAAATTGACCAAAAATTCTAATTAATATGCAGTATATACAAAAAAAAAAAAAAAATAAATAAATAAAAAAAAAAAAAAAAAAAAACATAGTCATGTGAAAGATTATTAGTTTTATTCTAATGTGTGGTTTCATATATAATTTCAATTCAAATAATAAAAATAGTAATTTGCAATATGTTGTGCCATGAAATGTATCAATACTTCTCATACCATTTCCTAATATTAAACTCACATTCAAATTTTCAGGGCATGGAAAGCATGATCCAGATGTAACATGTGATCAATACCATAAATACAAGGTGATTATTAAGTCTTTTAATCTTTTTTATTTTTACAATTTTGAGTATAATGAAATGCTTCCATTAACAAGTTATTATAGATACATATACTATTTTGAAACGTTTTAGCAATGGTTTTTAATTCAATTTAACATCATACTTATGGAAAAAAAAAATGCACGTGTGAGTTGAGACTAATGAGTTACAAATATTCAATGTGTGAGTTGAGACTAATGAGTTACAAATATTCAATATACGAAGTATTTTGCATGATAGTGTTACTGCTAGAAGAGAAGGTATTCCCCTTGATTGATCTTTGAATAATGTAATTGATCGAATTGGAATAATTATTGAATTATTATCTATTTATGTTTATGATTAATGGTATTAGGATGATGTTCAACTCATGGTAGAGACTGGATTGGATGCCTACCGATTTTCAATCTCTTGGTCGAGATTAATTCCAAGTACCAATTTTCATACCTTACCCCCATATTTATCAAATTAATCAATATTAAGTTTATGATTTAGATAAACTTATACAATTTCTTAATTTTCTTTTAGATGGCAGAGGAGCTATTAACCCGAAAGGTTTAAGATACTACAACAACCTCATCAATGAACTTATTAATCATGGTAATATTTTTCTAGATAAAATGTTATATTAACATCTTTGATAAATTGTTAATTAGGCTATATAATAGAATTATAGAATGTTAAATTACTTCTAACTCGCAGGAATCGAGCCACATGTTACTCTTTTGCACACAGATTTACCTCAGGTCCTTGAGGATGAGTATGGAGGTTTCCTCAATCGAAGGATCATGTATGTACTTTGTCATAATATAATTACCAGTAGTATAATTTATACACTCTATTTCATAACATATACCGTAACAAATAGTCGCATTGACCTAATCCTCTTATAGTTAAAGATATGACATGATTTTCTCATCATTCGATTTAAACAAACATTGGCTTATTGAGAGGTTCATTCATACCATCACGTGTTGCATTAATGTACACTTTATATATGTGACCACTGGTTTTTGTTAGATTTCGGGAAAACTCGTCAATTTATGACACATATTATCATAATATATATCACACCCCTGAAATCATAGCGGGAGGAGGTCGTACGCTAAGATTGGATCTGAAATCTAGAAATAAGTCTCTTAGAAGATCTTTTGTGAAAATGTCTGCAAACTGATATCTAATAGGATTAAGTAGAACTCGAACATAACCCAAAGCAACCTTTTCTCGAACAAAATGAATATCCATCTCCACATGTTTAATGCCTTGGTGTTGAACCGAATTGCTAGAAAAATTTATAGCGCTGACATTATCACAATAAACAATAATATCCTAACGAAGAGGACAATGTAGCTCAAGTTAGAGAATATGAAGCCAACAAGCCTTAGAGCCAACATTCACGATGCCTCGATATTCTGCTTCTGCACTCGAACGAGTTGAGATAAATTAAAGTAGGTTGACGCTTAGATGACCAGAAGAGGAGGTTTTTTTCCCAAGAAAGCAACAATAACCGAAATAGAGCGACGGATGTCAGAACAACCTCCCCAATCAGCGTCAGTATAAGTAATCAATTGAGTGGGAGCAGATGGATATAGATGTAACCCAAGATCAATGGTACCCTGAACATAATACAGAATGTGTTTCAATGCATCATAATGAGTTCCCAGGGATCATGTATAAAAAGACACACTTTTCTTGTACTAAATAGGCAACGTCGGGCCTAATGAAAGTGAGATACTGAAGAGCACCTACTAAGTTGCGGTACAGAGTAGGATCTCGAACTGATGGTCCGAAATTTGCACTATGTTTGGACTTAGTGTCGACTGGGGTAGCTGCAGGTTTACAAGAGTCCATACATGCACGTTCTAAAATTTCCTAAGCATATTTTTGCTGTGTAAGAAGCAAATAAGGAGTACGAGTCACCGCAATCCCCAAAAATTAATTCAGGGGGCCTAAATCAGACATAGGAAACTCAGTTTGTAACTGAAATATAATCCCCTCACAACCTGTCCGACGAGGTAGCTAATATAATATCCATGGGCATGGCAAAGATTTCAGGGTCCCGTGCGATTTTATAAAATTGGGCCCTTTTCTATGATTAAACAAAAAAGATAAAAATATTAATAAACAAATAAAATTTGCTTCGATGAACATAGTATGTGAAGATTTCGATTAAATTGATACATTACTTTTGACCTCCAATTATTAAAAAAACGTACAAAAAGTAAACAGCAAGTGTTGAAGCATCTCTTTAAAAATTTATATACTTCAAAAAAAAATTATGTATGTGAAAACTATAATTTATACAGTATACTTCAATTACAAGTAAACGAAAAATAAAAGTATATTATTTATATACTTTAAAAAAAATTCAAAAAAATGTTAAAATACAAGGGAAACAAATTAATCGACTAATGATAACACCAAAATAATTGCAAAGTTAAGATATTTAACTGGCAAGTGTTGAAAGACTTGAGCTTTAAAAATAAAATAAAAACACGCACACACACTTCAAAAAAAAAAAAAAAAAAAAAGGGGGAAGAGAAGCATAAAAAATTGAAAAAAGTTAGTGGGGGTACAGGCTGTAAATCATTAGACTTAAACCTAAGACCATTTGTTTCATTCAAAATTGTTTTACCACTAGACCAAAGGCAATTCCTCATTAAACTTATTTACTTAATCAATATATATCAAGTTTATTTCGGGGCCCCAAATTTTTGGGGTCTAGTGCGGTCGCACCAGGTCTTCGTCGTTGTAGGGAATTTTTTAAACTCAACCTTTTGAGCTCCATTATTTCATACTTTTAGACATTGCGGCGCTCCAAGAGAAAGGAAGCTAGAGATAGAAGAGTCGCCAACAAGTTTTAGGAACTTGTAAACTGTTCACGGGTGCGAAAGTTACACCCCATTCACGATCACGGAGATCGCTAACTCCATAGCGATTCGGAACCATGATTGGATGTTCGGGGATGAAGATACGAATTTAACCTAAAAGAGATTGAACCCGCCCTAAATCGGCCTTTACTTAATTCTTATGATATTCATGTGCGCTTTCCAATCAACATCCATACATTAAATTAGCCCTAAACCTGCTTAATCTACGTTAGTTGATTATTAATGCACAATCAAATCTAATATTTGTGATTATTTGAATTAAAATCATATTAAGCCTAAATCAAATTATTAATTATCTTATTAGGCGTGATTTAAAGTACAAATTCCCCTTAATCCTGCAAAAAAGGGCGTGATTAAGCAATAACAATCAATCATGAATAATCAAGCAACATATGATTAATTGATACAACAATCATCATCATAATAACATCATCCAAAATATCATTAATAGTAAGATCCTAGACGGATTAATAACAAACCCTAGCATGTCACTAATAAAAATCATAATCAAAGCGTTATCCTAAACATGATGCTAGAAATCATAATAACATCCTAACATGATACTAAGAATTAAAGTAATATTCTAAACATGATTTGTACTCCAAACTCAAGGATTAAGTAATTGAATTACTTACGTTGAAATTCCTCCCTTCTTGCTATTAAAACTATAAACACGTTAGTAACTTTAGGAAAGATTAAATCAACAAAGTAAATAAATCACATAACAATTGAAATATAGATTTGGGACCAAACCCTCAAAACTATCAACCTTTCATGTCGAGGTCAAAGGCAACGTTGAGGAGAGCAAGGAGTATTCGAATCTTGCAAAGGAGGTATGGTATTTGTTTGGGGAGAGTATCAAGGATGTATTTAAGCTAGGCTATGAATAAGAAGAAATCAAGAGAGAGAACATTAGAAAGGGTATTGATGATGATTGTTGGTGATTGAAAATGGGGTGAAATGACCTCTATTTATAGGAAAAAAGAAGGTCGAAGCGATCAGAAAAGATCTGAATTCGAATCGGAATAAAACTCCTTTTATCGCGGCGCGATATGAGTATCGCGGCTCGCCAGGTTCATCGCGGCGTGATGGTGCTGTCGCGGTGCGATGGTCCTACAATTTTGCATTTTTTGTTTTTATCATAACTTTTGATCTAGAAATCGGAATAAGATAAATAATATATTTTTGGAAAAATCTGAAAGTCTACTTTCCAATTCAATTATAATCAAATTGAAATATTTTGTATAATTTAAGATATGATTGAAATAGTGGAACAATGTCAGTTTAGGATGGATTTTGGTATTTCATTCATATTTTTTCCGTTATTGCTCGGAATTGGGATCATGATATATCATTGGAGAGATAATTTCAAGGGCTATCCAACCATTCATGATTTGGATAAAAATTATGAGGCACGAAATTCAGTTTTGACCGAGATTTAAAAAAAAGAGATGTTTTATTCAATATCAAATTCTTTAATCTTTATCTTTCGGGGAAAGGATAAATTAGAACCTTCTAAAGGATTATAGAAGCTCCTAATGAATCCTAATTGTCTTAGGATTGGAAATAAGGTATTGGACCCTCCTCATGATCATTGGGTCGTAGGTAAGGTGGATCTAGATCCGGTTTGAGTTCGATTTAGTATTTTGGCCATAACTTACTTGTTTTGATTCGGATTTGGGCTTATAATATATCGTTGGAAAGCTCTTTTCAATCTCCATCCAACAAACATGGGCCATGATTATGGACGAAAATAATTAGGTTTGGACTTTTTAATGGATTGGACACGAAATAAACGATTTTAGAGACACGAAATGAATGATTTTGGGTTTAAAGACACGAAATAATGATTTTGTCTTAAAGCATTTTAGGTAAGGTTAGAAATAAGGTCAAGGCTTAAGAAATATTTATGAGACTCTAACTCTTCACCGAACTCATAAATCAGAACGTGAAAGGTACTCATCATTGGGTTTGGTTTTTGGGGAGACACTATCAGGTGTGTACGGCCGCCCCTGATAATGTCATCAACATAAAGAAGCAAATATGCCATATCATCACCCTGCCCGAAATGTAAAAAGAGAATTGTTACTCTTAGCAATGACAAAGCCAATCTGACCAAAAAATTCGCAAATCACTGGTAAAAATTTGAGATCTAAAACCTAAGCGGTGATACCATGTTAGATTTCGGAAAAATTCCTCAATCTGGAATGTGTATAATTGATCAATATATATATAGTGTTTACAAGAGTAGTCCTAATCAGGTTAGGAAACTTAGTACGATAAAGATACAAAATATATATTGTACAAAATATATCCTAAATCTATGAGATATATTATCATAATATAATATCTATCAGCTTCGAACAAATCGAGTTTTTATTTACCATATATGACACTATAAGTCATTTCTCACTTAAATCTCGCCAATATTTTGGTCATCTGACCAAGGAACATCACGTTGGCTTTGAAGCAGCTGCATAGTAAAAAAAAAATAAAAAATTGTACTGTGATGGATATATGTGTCAAATTTTGGGGAAAATATTTCTATATATTTCTCATTGTATTTTTCCCATAGACAATAGGAATATCTAATCCTAATATTCCTAAATATCTTAACTCATTCCTAAATCTATCACAATAACTCACATATATCTTTTCACAATAATATCTCATATCACAATATAGTCGAAGGTGTAGATCTCGAACGTCCAACTTGGACAATAAAATAAAATCTGCATCATGTCATCATCAAGCCGCAATATGTAATCACCAAACGATCCGCCTTTGAATAATCACAAAAATAATCATGTTGAACTTCATCATGCTACGATATTCCTCGACATCAAAATCATCAAATCTCATCATGATAAAAAAAATGTAATTTGTGAACTCTCACAAAAAAAATTCACACTATTATACGTTAATTATGAAAATAACGTATATTCTTGTAAAACATAAGATCACTTACTTATTTAAAAAAATTGTGAACTCTCATAATCTCATTGTATTGGACGCAAATAATGAATAATGCGTGCAATTGATCACTCCTCTCTTATACAAAATCTCATGTTTAAGATTTTTTAATTTTTTTTTTTCTCTCTCCCTTGATAAGAACGTCATTGTTTTCGAACCCATCAATCAACAATCAAACAGGAATGTCATTCTTTTCGAACCTGCATATATATCAATACAACAAGAACGTCTTTCTTTCGAACCCGTCATTTTTTTTTTCTCCTCTCACACGATCTCTCGTGTTTAAGGTTTTTCTCATTCTCTCAGATGAACTCTCGTGTTTTTCATCCTCTCCTCTCACATGAACTCTCTCGTGTTTAAGATTTTTGTTAAATTTTGGGGAAATTCCCTTGTATTTTTCCCATTCATAATATTCGCCCACATTATAATATATATAGACGATAGAAATATCTAACCCTAATATTCCTAAATATCTTATTAACTTCCTAAATCTATCACAATAACTCACATATATCTTTTCACAATAATGTCATATGTGAATGCAGATTAGACTTCACAGCATATGCAGACATTTGCTTCAGAGAATTTGGTGATAGGGTTCAGCAATGGACAACTTTCAACGAGGCGAATATCTTCGTCTTTGGTGGCTATGACGTAGGGAATACACCTCCAGGAAGATGTTCTCTCCCTTTCGGACATTATAATTGTAGTAGAGGAGACTCGACGACTGAACCATATATTGCTGCTCACCTTCTACTGTTGGCTCATGGATCTGCTGTTAGGTTGTATAAGGAAAAGTACCAGGTATGAATGTATGATTGTATAAATGTATGATATTATGTTATTATTACTCCTTTTCATCCATGTTTTTATACCTATGTTATTAACATAATTGGATATAGGCCAAACAACTTGGATTTGTTGGGATGAATCTCCTTTCCTACTATTTGTCTCCTGCTACCAACACACGAGAAGATGTAGATGCTGCTCGAAGATCCTATGATTTTCTTATTGGCTGGTAAGCTCTAAATTAAAGAAATATAATAGACGCAGTCTATAAGGCCAACTATATTAATAGGCTAAAGTGATATCAAAATCTTGTGGCATGCTAACTTTTATCCTTGCTCTGTTGCTCAATTTTTAGGTTTATGCATCCCTTGAAATATGGTGATTATCCTGAAATAATGAAGAAAAATGCTGGCACCAAATTGCCTACTTTCACAAAAGAAGAATCAAAATTATTGAAGGGATCATTTGATTTTATTGGACTTAATTACTATAGTATCATGATGGTCGCGGACAATTCTATGAACAGTTCCATAAATCCAAGACCAAGAGATTATTTTGGTGACATGGAAGTGGAGTGGATATGTATGCTTTACACCTTCTAAGCACTTTTTATCAATTAAAAAAATAAAATTACGACTTATAAACTTGCACTAACTTTACCTAGTCACCAGAACATCACAAACTTAACTTTTGCAATGGATGCCACGGGTGTCAACTATAATATTGACAACCCTATAAATAGTCATATTGGTGTTGTTTTCACTATTAAAAGATAAAAATTATGTCCGTCAAAAACAATAAAAAAAGATAAAAATTATAATATGTGGTGTGCTTGTTATAAAAGTTGGTTATATTCTAACTAGTCAAAGTTGGTGTTACTCAATGCACCGAAGTTATAATTAAGAATATTAAGGTCAAATTTGCCCTACAAATTTATTCATTTGTAGAAATTAATGTCGAATACTAATAACCTTCTTTCTTACAGTTTTTGATTTCAGTGCATTGCCAGAAAAGGTGAGTCTTAAAATCAAACATCTTCATAATGATGAGATTGTATTTGTGTATTCTAGATTTATTAATGTCTAACATGTTTAATTGTGATATAATTCGTAGTTTATGTTTCCAAATGAACCATGGGGTTTAGAGCGAGTATTAGAATATTACAAGGATGTTTATGAAAATCCTCTTATCTATATCCATGAAAATGGTATTCCTTTTTCCTTCCTTTATTATTTATTTATTTTATTTTGATAAGTTTTGAGTAGAAATTAATTGCAGTTAAAATGAAAATTGGTTGCAGGTCAAGTGGCAAATTATAATACATCTACAAATGATTCATTTAGGGTTGAATATTTAGAAGCCCATATTGGGAGTTTGCTTAATGCTATGAGGTAAGGCTCCATTCTTGTCAAAAAAAAAAAAAAAACTCCATTGAATCCTATGATAACGGCTAATTTTTGGCTACATACTCCTTCCATTTTTAAAAATTGTTCTAGCATCATACACGTGTAATTTAACCATATTTTAAACTAATACATAGAGTATTAAAATATATTATTATATTAAATATTATTGGGTTTTTTCACAATGTATATTTTTAAAATATTTACTTTAATTAGGTGTGTTTTATTCACTACTCGATTTTTACTTATGTGAACTTATTAAATCTTATTAAGATTTATTTCCGTTACAATTAGATTTTAGGTAGCCTTATTACTTTATTAGTCTTATTAGAACTTAATTTTCCCTAATCTATCTTATCAAATTTTTTTTTCTTCATATAATAAGTGCAAACAAAGTGAACAACATAGGACCTTTATGTTTGAAATTTTATCTTTATAAAATGATTTTTTAACGGTCAAAATAGTTTATTAACAATTATAAAAGTTAATATGGGCTAATTTATAAGGAAGGATTATATACATTTTGTTCTTGACCATCTCCGATGGTGAAACACAACTTTGAGTATTAAAATACAAAATGAGTTGTTTTTTACACCCAATGGTGATACCCCATCGACTTCTCAAATTAGCAACTCATGTGATATATAATTTCCCAATAGTGAAACTCTCTTAAGTATACTAATGTCATTTTCCAACATGACCCACTACATCCCATTAAATAAACAATTTTAATTTTTTACAAAAACATTAAAATTTAAATAAATAAATAAACCAATATAAAATTGATAAGGGGCCCACTTTTTTTGTTAATTGAGACTCAAGGTTGATTATCATAAATTAGCAACTTTCTTTTTGAGTATCTAAGTTTAGATACCAACTTATTGGTATCCTTTACAAAAAATACTCTCTCTCTCCTAAAAACTCCAATGAATCTCACCATTGGAGATGACTATCTTCATTGGCGAGACTCAACTTTGAGTATTGAAACACAAAATGAGTTGTTTTTTTACCTCCAATGGTGATACCCAACCCACTTCTCAATTTAGCAACTCATGTAAAGTCTAATTCCCAATGGTGAGACTCTCTAAAGTATACTAATGTCACTTTCAATTTATGACCCACCAAATCCATATTATAATTATGTTTTAAAAAAAAAATTAAAAAAAAATTAAAACTTAAATAAATTACAAAATATATTATAATATTGATAAGGGGCGCACACTTTTTGTCAAATGAGACTCAAAGTCGTTGGGTATCTAAAGTTAGCAACTTTATTTTAGAATTGTTAAGTTTAGATACTAACTTATTGGTATCCTTTGTAAAAAATACTTTCTCTCTCCTAAAAATATTCCCTCAAGTCTCACCATTGAAGATAGTCTTTATAATCTTATGTATGAAGAACCCCTTAGTGCAAAGATATGATGTACACAAATTTTGATTAACTAGCAAGATGTTTTGACCCAACCCAAATTAGTTAATCCATCTAATGAATACAACATCTCTCCAAAAAAAAAAAAAAAATGTAATGAATACAACAGTAAATCAACAAATTAATCTGGATACTGTATCATATTAGGTAGTGCAACATGCAAAAACTAAAATTAATAGTATTACCAAACCTCATAGGGTCATATGAATTTGTGAGTGGGAGGGGGAGAGGACAAATGTTGAGGTATCAATCAATAACTTAACATTAAAACAGACATCAGAAGTGACACATGTCACTTTTCGGTGCTATTTTTTCCCTCTAAATTCACTATTTCCATTACACAAGATTAACAATATATTTACCTAAATAAATTTATTTTGGTAAATTTAATTCAGTAAAAAATTAAATGAACATTGTATAGTTATCAACGTACGTTAAGACAATACGTTCGGCATTTTTTAAAGATGGAAAGAACTTATAAATTTTATATTATCTTTACTGTAGTATACATATCTGCTATATAAGACAACCCGATGTCATCCTCTCCTTCACCATCTGAATTTATTTAATTATAACTTTTCATGAGAAATTTTTTACAATTCCTCTTGTCTTAACGCTCTATCTTCCCCATCATTTATCTCCAACATTTAAATCCTTTCAACATTATTCATCAATTTTGTTCATTTCCTTGTTCAATTCACATACAAGTAATTCCTTTCTTCCCCTACTCCTTTATTTTATTGAATTAATTAATATATTTTCAATCACACATGCAATAGTTACAATATTTTTCTTAAAACATTTTTTGAGATTCCTAAGGACAAAAAATTGTTAACGACTTTTCTTTTTCAATTTTTCTATATATATAAATCGTGCATGGCACGAGCCAAAAGGCTAGTATCATACCAAGTAATACATGTAAGTATCCTACACTGATAAAATTTGAGAGATTTAAACACTTTATAAGGTTAAAGGGCTAATTAAACCTCTTATTGCCAATTTGCCATATATGGTTTTGGGATGGAACTTCGTTTAGTCTTGTGAAGTGGACTCTCTAGTTACGGGTGCAGCTTAGACCCGTATTTAACATGGTATCAAAGCCAGGCCCATAGTTTGGGACCTTTAATGGCATTAATTGTTTATGGCCAAATTGAATTGGATCATGTGATCCTTGATGAGTTAAAGGGACCTTACATGTGAGGGACAATGTTAAAGTATATCCTACCAAATAACACATGTAAGCGTTTTACACTGATAAAAGTTGAGAGAGTTAAATTCTTAATAAGGCTAAGGGGCTAAACCTCCAATTGCCATATGATTTTCTCTCTCTGATTACGGGTGCGACCTAGACCCATTTAACAACAAATTGACAACATGTAAAATTACGCAAACTAAATTTGATGAAGAACATTATTTTTATTTTAGATTATATAAATATAAGTTAAGATTAATAAGATAGAATAATACATCACATGTTTTGTTCTAACTTTAAAGTATGACATTGTTCATGTACTTACATAGATACATCATATCAATTAATTAACTCATTTTACTATTACTTTTAATTTTTCCTTGCAGAAATGGATCAAATACTAGAGGGTACTTTGTATGGTCACTTATGGATGTATATGAACTATTGTTCGACTTTGATTATACTTTCGGTATATACTATGTTGATTTTAATGATCCAAATCTTACAAGACACCCTAAGTTGTCTCAAAGATGGTATTCTGAATTTTTGAAGGGAGAAAGCACAAGTACGCATGTAAAAAATAATTTAGTAGAAGATACAACTATCGAACATCAATTTAATCGTTCTTCATTTGGAGAAGATGAGAACTTGAGAAAACACCCTCAACTCCGTCAACAAATAATGTCTTCTTAGGAAATACTGTATTTTATGTACACTAGTCGTCCTCTTGCGCGCGGTAGTTCAGCATGTTTTTGGTTTGGTTGTATGATTCTCGTTATTTGTTGTGGTTTAGTTGTCACTTTTTTTTGCATTAATTGGTAAGTTTTCTCATCATTTGAACAAATTATTAAGGGTAATACTAATTTGTGATTGTTAATAATAAGTATGAAACTTTTAAATAGTGAATGATTTTCAGTTTCATTAAAATCAAAATACCTAGGCTTAGGTATTTAAGTAATTAATACAGTAGTATATTTGCTCATTTAATTAATAAATGTAATTAATTTTCTTTGGGTTCATTTGCTTTGCTTATTGTCAAATATTATGGTGATTAAGTTGTCTGCCTCATGTGTAACTATTATGTTTAAATAATTTCTAAGTATATTTAAAGTCTATATTTGTTTCTTAGGGTTATTAAATAAATTCAGAAGCATACTTGAATTTATGATAATAAGTTTCCATTTTATTAGACAGAGTTTATTATTGGTTAATATTTTTATAAGTTACCAATAATAAGTCCATAAAAGATATTCTAATAATTTATTACATACTTTAATTCAAGCTCTTTCATTGCATTCAATTTTTACAAGTTGTAAAAATTCCTACTTGAATACATCCTCAATTAACTCTAAATTCCTAAGGAGTTTATCAAATATTAGTCATTAGATTAAATCCTGATTTTATTACGATACAAATACAAACCAATTATTAAAGCTTAGATAAAAAAAAAAATTTAAAAAAAAAACAAATATATTAAAAAAAAATAATACAGTTTCAAGCTAAAATCATCAACTACAAAATAAGTAGAAATTCATAAAAAAATATTAAAACCCGAAATTGTATAGAAAATTTGTATCTAAATACTATAGATATTATAGCTATTGTTTTTAAAAAATAAATTTTAAAGTAATTGAATATATATATTAAAAGTGTTATAGGATACAACTAATCAATTTTTTTTATTCATTTTTAAAGAAGAAAAATCTTTTTCCCTTCTTTCTTCTATTCTGGTTGCAACTATTTTTACATAGTTAAGGTTTTTTCCTCTTTTCGGTGAGCGTTCTTCCCCCAAAAAATGGTAGATGAAATTATTGACCTGACTGTTGAGGATGATAGCGTTTGGACTTCAGTTGCCGGGGATAATGCTCAGAAGAGGCTTAAAAGTTACTGTTTGTGGGTGCGCCGGCGTCTGAAGGTTTACCTGAAAGAGTTAGAGGTAAAGGGAAAAGAAGCTATGAAAGAGCTGGAGGAAGAAGAAGCAACATACAAAGCCTGAAAAAGGAAGCCTTTAGCTAAAATTTGCTCCATGGATGCTACCAATTCCAATGCCAAGAAGCTAAGGTTTGGAGCTGATTAGGTTGTCTAGTATATTGATTCAATTGTCTCTATTGTGGTAATTTCTGACTATTTTAGTTGTTTTTTTGTTTTTTTTTGTTTTTGTTTAGGGGTATAAATTTAAAACTATGCTCAAGGAGATTATGTTAGGTGTTTTGGGGGTTTATCTGGATCAGAATTTAGGGCAAAATCTAGGATGCTGAAGTGATTGAATGTTTGCTATCTTTTGTAATGGTGGATGATATTGTAATCTATTTAATGTTATAATGGAAGTATATTATTCTTAATTTTTTTTGTGAATCTACTAACTTGTATTAGTTGTAAGCTATGGCAATTAATATTGGTTATATTAATGGTTGGTGTTATGTTAGAAGAGAAATAATATTGTTAAATTAAATTCAAAGATGTAAATTACTGGTAGTAAAATCACTATATATCAAGGATTATGACATTCTAGAATTATTTCTAGAACATAGGTCCTCTTCAAATTACAGTGGTTGATATCTTAACTACAATGATTTATACCTTAATGAATAATTTATGTATTTTTAGAATATTATTACAAATCTTTGAAGCAAGGTATGTACAAATTATAAATAAAAGACTTTAAAAGGAAGAAGTGAAGAGAAGTAGTATTGTTCTTTTCATATGTTGTGATGTACTCTGATTGCAATGATATGCTTTTTTCTAAGGGGCTTATTTTGCTTCTTTATTCGCTGTCCTTTGCTCTTTCTTTGTTGGTGGTTGCTCTTTCTTTTGCTTCTTCTTGCTATGTTTCAGTTATTTTGGGCTTCAAAGGAGATATATTAGCCGAGGAAGTTGTCAGTGAGTTTTTGCTAGCTAATGTTTAAGTTTGCATTAATTTCAGCTAGTGTAAATCAAATGCACATAAGCTAGGCAAGTATAATAAGTTTAGGTAAGTAGATTAAAAGCAATCTGGATAAAAAATAAAAGCTAGATAGTCATAATTAGTATGTTTTGTTTAGATGATTATAAGATAGGTAAGTATAATAGAAATGATATTTAGAGAGCGGGAGGAGAGAGATAGAGAGAAGAAGCCCTTTTTTTATTTTATGGAAAACAGAATAAATGGAAGAGCTTGAAATCGGGAAAAGTGATGACAGAGAAAGAAGGGGAAATGTTTGGAATAGAGGAAAATAGGGGAAAAGAAATTTGGTGACTCATCAAATGAAATGAAATTTCACCCAAATGCTAGAAACCCTAACCCTCCCAATTTTGAAAACCTTATGAACAGTGATAATCATTGACTATACTCAAGTAACTATTCCTTTCATGTTTGACCAGAATCCTCTTTAACAATTTGCGTGTTAAAGAGGAACTATTCCTTTGGTGGAGTCGATGCCGTTTGGAGGAAGCCGACCATTTGGCGCATAATCGCCACCAACAATTTCATCTACCATGGGATTTAGTCCCTCGGCAGGGAAAAATATTGTATATTTTCCCAAGCCCTTTGGTGGAGTCCGATGCCATTTGGAGAAGCTAACCATTTGTTTCATGTAAACACCAGCTCCGCTTGGTTAAATGCCGGACTTGGGTGTCATTTAGGTGTCTAACTAGTATAGTTCCGTGCAATGCACGATTGACAATAACAAGTATTGAAAACATAAATATATGAACTGATCTAAAAGTATGGATGATGATTAAAAAAAACCTAATAATACGAGTTTGAAGAGTTATCTCAAACAATAAATATAAGAATAAATTGCATTGATGACAATTTAAAAAGTAAAATTTATATAAATAATAAAAATTGACATAGTTAAATTTGACCCATTTGTTAATGATGTAGTTTGACCCTAAACATACTACTGTACATAATATAATATTTATTTTTTAAGAAAATATCGTATCAATAATTATGAAATCGAGTGAATATGACATTAGTATACGTAGTGAGACAACGTAATTTGTGATTGCAAATCAAAGGCATTCTAACTGTAGTTTAGGATATGTGCACCATATTTTAGGATAAGTGTTGGATTGTATGGAACAACAAATTTGTTGTCTAACTTTACACCATTCTTCTCAATAAATTTCCCATCATCTCGTCTTCTATAAATAGGATATCTTCTTCATCAACACTTACCTCTTCAACAAATGTCTTAGGGAAATGTTTTGAACACATTCCTTCTCTCTTGCATGGAGATTGTTTATTTAAAGCACCACAAGGACCGTGCATCATAGAATCTCCAACAAGCTTATAAAACTTAGGTTCCTTTATTGGATCAGGGATTTCAGCACATATAACTTTAGCAATCTTAGCAATCTTGTCCTCAGATTTTAAGAATAAAAGGATGTGAGCATGAGGCAATCCACGTTTTTGGAACTCCACCGTGTATATCACTGAATCAATTTTGGTTATGTAGTTGTTAAAAATTCAAATAAAGTATTAAAATTATATAAATCAATGAAGTAAAGATAAGAAAAAACTTACAAGCATTTACTGTGAAGGGAAATGTCTTTTGATTCTTAAGATCACTTATTAAGCAATCAAGTTTTATTTTAAAAACTCTACAATGAATGTCTGGCCTATCCTCCGGTCTGAGTCCTCTCTTTTGAACGAATCTAGTGATTTCTGGCCACTTTGGATTGCATGTAAATGTGGTAAATAAATGTGGGTATCCATACCACCTGCATATAGCCATGGCATCTTGAAAATTTTGCATCATATATCGAGCACCACCAGTAAATGATGAAGGTAAGACAATTCTTACTCCCATAGATGATGGATCAATGTCTCCTCTCAAAACTGCATCAGCAAGATTCTTATACAATTCTGACCTAAATTGTTTTTGATGTGAACGAATGTAGTTATGTCTATCAGCCTCAATCATAGTGTAGACATCAACAAAAAATTGCTGAAATAACTTTCTTGACATCAATAATGTTGCAGCTTCATTAAGTCTTTCTTGTTTTCGGAATGCAAAAAATTCTCTCATACTCAACCTCACCCTTTTTCTAGAAGAACTATTTCCATCGTCATCCCTTAACAAAATATCAACCTTATAACCATCCTCACCATATTGAAATAACAATGGGTATTACATTGCAAGGTAAGAAGGGTGAAGCTCATTTATGCGTGGGAGTAAACCTGATTGCTTTTCAACAATAATATCCCTGTCCGTAGAGTTTTCGATATCTCCAACAATAAGTGCTGCAACTTCAGATGCACTTGGGAGGTTGTAGGTCCTCCCATCAACCCCTCTCCTTCCGATGAGTTTTAATTTGACATTTGAGAATTATCAAATTTATAACGATCCCTTGCCATTCTAAAAGCCTTAGCAATGAGGTTGTGTTCATCAAGCATCGTTTTAAGACCGTTAAGAATAGCATCATTCAAATCATCCGAATTTCTTAAATGACCATGCAAAAAGAGGAAAATAATAATGTTAGGAATTTAATAGTTCAATTTACATCAAATTGAATCTAATATATAAATGACGTAAATAGGTAAGTAAATAAATAACAAACCTCATAGCACGCTTTCGGTTAGAAACCTCATTATCTGTGTCATAAATGTAGAGTTGGCAAAATTTTGGAGATGAACCTGAATTTGGTAGCAAACTTCCTATCCTATGATAATTCTGACCATGTAATCGAAAGGTGTAAGACCCATGACCTTGATTGATAGCTGAATCGATTTTTCCTCCCATTGACGTGAATGCATGCATATTATTATAAGAACTTATGTTCTCCAAAAAATTCCTACTTCTAAGGTCCTTGTTCTTTAAAAATCTACTAAGTAGTGGTGGTGGTTCTTTTAGTAGAGGTAATTTCACTTTTCCTTGCATACAACACTTTGAGTATTTTGGATTATTTGATT